AGGCACCTCTTACTATAGCATGAGGGTCGGATGGCTTGCATCCCCTTGCAATTTCCTTTTGACGTCTTTCCCTTCGGGCCCTTCGGGTCAGCTTTCCGTCTCTGCCTGTTTGTCGCTGCCCTTCCTGCTCGTCGTGGACCTCAGCGATTGGTCTCGCAGTTTGCCCTCCTCCTCTTCTTCTATTGTTACTGTCATCACTTTCAACGCGTGAAGCCAACTCTACGTCCCGACACCCACCATATATTTCCTTGTACTCGTTTCTCTCACACCTGGGCATCCCTTCGGACCTGCGACAACACGTCACAAACGCAGTGGAATCCCCCTCCTACAAATTACGCCCGCGGAGCCATCATCGAACACTACATCTCGAAAAGTTCAATCCGCCAGAACACCATCCCGACACTTACTCCTTCCGGAAAAAACCTAAGACGAAAACCAAGATTTGAGGTTTCCCTTACCCCGCCATTCTCATTTTCTTAGTTTCCCTCTTCCTCGCTTCATCAGCAGCACTCTTCCATCACATCGTTATTACGTCATCATCATCATCATCATCATCTAGTCTGAGATACCAGAGTCCATTGGGGCTCAAGCAAGCACGAATGTACGAAGCTGAGGCGGCGGTCAGTTGCAATCGGAGAGACGAGTGGATGCAGGTCATTGGAGAAGCGAAGAGGTTGTTAGGCGGATGGTTGTACGTATGTACGTACGTACGGTGGAGTTCGTACACGAATTGATTTTGATTCATTCATGCACGCATCGAGTGAGTGAGAGAGACGTCAAAGGGTGAGAGTGGGCATGTGGTGGGGTGTCGACATCACCGTTCAATCCATCGTCTAGCTTCTACAACCGCGTATTGCCTGTCCACTGACCTAGCTAGATCCGGAACTATTTGCGCGGATGTTTCCCATCACTTGACCACTTGCCAATACCCCACACCGCGTCCAGGTGCAGCTGCATGCAACCTGCTCGTTTGCTCGCTCGCTCGCTCCGCCCGCTAGCTCTACTTCCCTCTATCTCCCTGCTCTTTTCTCTACCCTCTACTCCCCTCTGTTTTCTTCCTCGCTCTTCGCCGCATCTCCGTGCTCCCGTCATCGACTGACTGAAAAAAAGAAAAAGTCCTCGCGCCATTTCTCTCCTGTCGTGCCATTGCTTGGTTCGCGTCAGTGGCTAGCACGTTCTTGGAAGTCATGAGGACGAGGAATGCTACACACCAGACAAACGCCTCTCTTCATTCGCGCCGCCTGCCGTGGACACCGGAGCAGTAGTTTACGTGCGGCTTGGAGCGCGTCTGATGTTGGCTTTGGCCTGCGGTGTCAGATGGAGTGATGAGGGTCCAAGAGCGTGCGATTTTCGCCGCCGCCCCCGAGAGTACTCTCCTAAACACGCAGAGGTTTGGTCATCACCGCCGCCACGAAGACAGTGCAAGGATGACGAGCAAAAATCGGACAGACATCCCGTGTGTTGACCAGAACTCCAATCTGGGAGCATCCAGTATCTCACAAACGCATTTCCGTCGTATTGCCATAGCCGTGCTATATACCATCGTGCCAGGGCCGCAAAGCTGTACGAACAGAAAGAGAAGACGATTCGGCGCCTGCCGCCGCGCCTGCCTTCACAGCATACAAACAAAACGCAAGCGCGAGGCGGGAGGTGAAGAATTGAGTCATATAACGTGCCGCAACCACCACCCCACTATCCAGCGCACCACACAAACGTTTATGGATCGGTGGCGTAGTGGTAACGCATGTCGTGGTTCAAACATTCGCATCCACGGCAAGTCCCAGGTTCAAGTCCTGGTCGATCTAACTACTGGAGTGCCTTTTGCCCCTTTCTTTTTTGCCTCTCTCTTTGTTTTCGTTGGCTGGCTGGTTGACAGGCTGGTTAGCTGGTGGGGTTGAGTGGTAGCGAGAGGAGAGGGGGGGGTTGTACAGGGCCGGCTTCGTTCCACGGTTGTGGGTTGATGCGGCAGGGTCTTGTTTGAGGTCGACCATGGCTAGTCACGGTTTAATTCTTCGTCGCGGCTGCGGTGGAGCTTTTTGTTTGCTGTGGCCGTAACACATTTTTGCCGCTGCTCTATGGGCAATGTGAGTAAGGTGGTCGTTTAGGCAGTCAGTCCATCGATTGACTGCGAGCGGCCCAGGAGTGCGGCGGAGATGTTGGGCAGGGTCAATCGACTTCGAAAGACTTCTTTTGGGTCATCCACGGCATAGCGTGATGAGCAGCAGAGAAGAATTCGTGCCAGTTTCAGATGCTTTCCACTCATCGATCACGATTGACGATCCAGACGCCTTTCACGTCGATAGTAGCCACGCTGTCCTTGGTGTGCTGGATTTCCAATTTTTCCCCCTGGGTGAGAGAAATTCGGGAATACGGCATTTGGTCGGTTGTGGTCCAGTGACAAGACTGGCCGTTGAAATCAGAAAGACTCACGCAGCCAGAGGAACACGGCGCAATGGTAAAGGCGCCGACTGTACTGCTCTCAGTCACCTGGAGCGAAAAGAGAAAGGCGACTGAGAATAAGCGTCTGCTCGTACAGTGGTGTCAGTCGTCTGCATGGCCTGGATATTCATGTCCATTGGTGGACGTCTGTTGGTATTTTTGCTCCAAGCTCTTTCTGAACAGACTCGCCTGCTCTACTCCTGGTGCAAAGGCCGTGGTCGCGGGAATCTTTTCCAGATGTTGTTCTTGTGGCGACTTCAAATGATGCACCGCCAGAGGCATGGAGGCCACAAGCCAAACCTCGGCCTCCATGAGTTCCTCCCAGCCCTCAAGTGCGATGATGTGCAGACTTTGCAGGTGGGCGACATGGCCATATGAGTAAGACAAAAGCAAAGCACGACCCGCATTCAGAGCGCTTCAACAATATCAAGCACAAGGCCACTGGCCTCAAAGCCTTGGCCAAAAAAGAAGGTGCAGCGCCTCGCGGCTCCACTCTTACAGTGTGACTCACTCCTCCCAAAAAAATGCGCACAAAACGAATCTCCACGATCTCGCTTGCAGCGTTCGAGCGCGTGGACTCGAACGCCGGTCTGTTCGCCAAAACAAAAGGTAAGTTTTGAGTAGCTGAAAGTGGTTTCGATCCACTGTCCTCCGGGTTATGAGCCCGGCGCGCTTCCGCTGCGCCATTCAGCTGTTGTTGAAAGTGATCTCGCAAAATCAAATTATATCATACTTCAAATGCGTCGATCACACAAGACGAACTTTCCCTATACACTCATTTGGACGCTGTCTTTTTCCTGGTACGTTTTTCATAGAGCATGCGCTTTCTCGCGGAACAAAGAGGGTGCGGTGCGAGGCTGAGCGCTTCTCAGCCACTACGCAAACAGCCCGCTCGGCGGCGATTTCAGAAATGCTCGAACGCAACGACGACGTCAGTAGCACTAGTTGTCAAAATGTCAGCCTCGAATCTAGTGTCAGAGGATGGCAAACATAATCCGAGAGGGGAGGAAGGTGCTAAATGCTCTTCCGCGAGAACGGTGCACGGATTCCCAAAGTTCGCGATTCAGCGCGAAAAAGTCGACGGACCAGCAAGAAAGACGCCGCAACGAATCACGCGTTCTGAGCCTGTATGAAGTCTTAGGTCATGCTAACTACTGGACGATGAACCGCGGACTTCACCTACAAACCGGACTGCACTTTCAAGCACTTTGGAGGAATCTACACGTCTTTTCCCGTAGACTGTTTGTACATATTTTGAACAAGCGAGACTCGATTTCAACAATCACCTGACCAGGCGATTGAGCAAGAACAACTTCTTCAAGGTTCTATAGTGTAGTGGCTAGCACATGAGATTCTGAGTATCATCAGCAATATTCTCATAACCCCGGTTCGATCCCGGGTAGGACCTGATCTTTTGCCCAGGGTAACGGGATGGGCTTTTGTTTTGGACGGCGGGCGGACGATGGGTCGAGGTCGGTGAAGTGGAGCTCGCGGCGAAAATTTTCGGTGCGCTCGGGTTGGACTCGGCGATTTTTGGGGCCAACGACGGACCACCAACAACGAGAAGGCAGGACGGAGAATGTCGGGTTTGTTTGGTTGACTTTTTGGAGAGCTTCAATGTTGAGAGGGTTGGTTGTGTTGCTCCGTCGGACGAGCGGAGGTGCAATCGTATGATTTTAACCCAACAGAAGTGGAGAAGAGTTGACCGACGTTGGCAGCGGCTGACGCTGCATCAACAGCTCAACAGGGCTTATCGTTTCCCAAAGTCGCAGGTCGAGCTCCCTGGTGAGCCTCGTGCAGAGGCAGGATGACATCCCCTGAAACAATCAACAAGATTCTGAACGTTGAGAAGCTGTGGCGCAATCGTGCGAGTGGATACCATGTGCTTACCCGCACGGCTGTGCCTGCTTGATTGCTGTGTCCCCGGCTTTCTCGATTGATGAATTGCAAGTTGTCCCGGTCTGGTCCCTGATGCAGATGCAGGCTTGTATTAAGCGTTTTGGAGCTGTTGAGGACCTCGTTTCAACGTGTGGTAGACTGGATTAAGCAAATGGAAATATTTGGACGGCCAACAGACTTGCCAACCTGCTTTGGCGCTTGGAGAGGCTCCGTGGTGTCACATTCATTGGTACGGAATATAGCGTGGTAGCAGGAGCATTCCTGATGATCGACGAAGTAGCCGTTGTCCCTGTGTCGATCGGCATTGATGATACTAGGATCCCAAACTTCGGGTTGCTGTCCTTGAGTCCATTGATCTCTCAAGATTACTCGATGAGACCTGGTCCGTTGTCGATACAGATTGGCACCACAATAACCTGCCGCTCGGAAGCTCGAAATCTGTTCCCCCCTCGAGTCCTTGATTCCAAGAGCACCCCGTACTCTCCTCCGTAAAAGGACAGGACCAAAACAAATTGAATCAACTTGATTGGCCTGAACCCCCGCACGTGCCGCAATTGCCATCGTGCTTCGCAGACTTTTGTCCGCACAACACCAAGAAGCCACACCACGATCCACCAGGGCTAGGGAGCAAAAGAAATCAAAAGAAGAAGAGTCGGGGATTGAGCCCAACGCGAGGCTCGAACTCGCAGCCTTAAGATGCCAGGTACTGAGGTGTACTAAGAGTCTTACGCTCTACCGATTGAGCTAGCCGGGCAGCTATCAGAAGCTTGAGAGCTTCTTGGAAGGGATGAAGATTTGGTGGTTGCAAATGTCGTACATCAATGTCAGTTGAAGCAAGTCCGTTCGACACCGTTTGGACGGTTACGGCCAACTCTGAGCTTTCGCCCGGAACGATCAAATGATTGGAGTAAACGCACTCCTGGAGCCTCAACGACCGTTCGGGATTGGAGGCGGAGATTGAGGGGCCGCTCTCTGAGGGTTGGACTTGTACCCCTGAAGTCGACCGGTATCCACCGCCAGTCCTACGAGCAGCCAGCCAGTCTGTATTGAGATATTCCCGCATCTGTACTCACCGGACAATTGTTTTGCTGTGGAGTCTGTAGCGCTTGCGCAGGTCGTCTAATTTCAAGAAAATACCCAGTGTCAGCAAGTGACAGAAGATTTTGTTGTGGCATGTCCAATCGATTCGGCAACCGGGAAGTGGAGGAAAAATATGCAGCTCCTCTGCCGAAGTTTTGATCCAATAGACAGCCAGATTTCGCCGAATTTTCCTCTCGGAGTTGATGTGCCCAATAATGGGTTGTTTTCTGTTGATGTAAGCGAATTGAAGATGCTGCGCCGCTGCCAACAGCGGCTAATCCAGAGCTGTGCCACATCTCCTGTGCCGAACATCAGAAAAGCGATGCGCGTGAAAGAATAGTCCAAATGATTGGACGAGAATGCTCTTCGATCAGAATAGAACTTGAGCAGGCGTAACGCTCATGGATAAGCGTTGCGTCTTGCGACACATTCGTGGAGCTGTTGTGGCAGATGAAATATTGCCAGAGGAATAAATGGGAAATGCAAAGTCAAGAAAACAGAGGGCAAAACAGTCCATCCAAACCGATCCAGGAAAGCATATCAGCTCTTGAAATACCTGAACATACCAATCCCAAAGCCCGAGGTCCCGAAGCATCACTCCATATGCCAGGCCAAAAAGACCGTCTCTATGTCGCCCTGTACCTTCGTGGAGCCAGTGTGCCCAAAATGCCTGGTGGAGAGGACAAGTAATTCTTCGTCCTGATGAGTGGAGTTCGCAAAGATTCTGACCCGAAGTTTATGTGCAGATACCATTGGGCCCTCTTGGTAGGACCCAAAGCCGAGTCACGAAGTTCAGAAGGGACGCGATACCACGCAAAACAAGTGTCCAATCCCAAAACAAGGAAAATGGATTGGCAGTTGGAGGAACGCTCGACCACAGTGCTCGCGACCAACGCACTACTTGTCAGAATAATGATTGGTAAGGTAGAGAAGAAGAGTCGTCTTGTCGATTTGATACGAGGCACTCCTATCCGACACAGCCAAAGTGGGTGGAATTGTGTCGAATGGGTGAGAGAGGCAATTCTGAGAATCCAGACAGACGGAAAAGCAATTGGCACCAGTGTGTTGGAATGGAGGCAGGTGCGGGATGGCGCTTTGTTGTACTGTGAAAGGAAGAATTATCAGCACCGCTTCGACGGAAGGGGGACGTTTGACATGGAAAAGGCAGCAACCTACGATTTGATCGAAGGGAAAGAAACGATACCATGAGATTTCACATGAGGGTCCCCAGTCCCACCCCCAACCCCAATGCAATACCTTTTTAGAAGCCGCCGCCAAACCACTCTCGTCGAATCTTGTCCATGGCCAGCTCTCGAGGGAGAGTCTTCAGGAATTTGTCGATTTCTTCTCTCCAAAACAAATTCTGTGGATTCACCTGGCACGTGACGGTATATTCCCAGTAGTCGGGGAACCATCCAGAAGTCTCCCAATCGACAATTCCTGTTATTTTCTCGCCCTCGCACATGATGTTGAGACTACTCAAATCCCCATGTGTAAAGACAGGATCATCCCAAGGACCGTCATGAAAGCGAATAAGCTCGTTGACCTCTAATGGCAAGTCCGAGTGGCATTGCATGCCGTTGCGTAGGTAGTTGTGGAATTCTTGTATGGTTGCAAAAGGCCCAAAATGAAGATCAGGGCCGGGCATACTGGGGCGAGGGTCATAGAGCGGACCTCCATCGATATTTGAAACCGCAGGTCCAGGTGCTGGTAATTGCCGGATTTGATCGACCATGCTCTTGAGCTGTGAAAGCAGATTCTCTTTGGATTCTTCGCTGCGAAAAACCCAACCCTTGCCCAGCATGTGTCCCTTGATTCGCTCCATCACAATGAACGTGCATCCATGATGCGTAAAGGCGCAGTAGACCTTTGGTACAGGCACTGACGTATAGTGTGCAATAAACCTCATGGCGGAAGCTTCAGCTAAGCTTTTGGAAGGACCATACTTGACACACAAATGAGCTGAGAGCATCAGAACGCCACCCGACTGGTGACGACGAGAGTGCTTCAGGACCGCGACAGCCGTCAACACAGCTGTGCGATAGGCCCAGGTGTCGTTGACGGGACCCGACCATGGCTGGTCTGCCGAATGTTTGACGGCTTCAGTGTGTTGATCAGATGCGACATCGCCCGCGGTCGACATTCGCAGGACTGGAGCCGATGAGGTGGTGATATGGTGGTTGCAAGAGACGAGGAGAGAGGCGGTTGCCGGCCCGAGTCATAGGCGCTGGCGACCGGCGGCGGTCATGAGTAGAGAGTCCCCGCTATCCGTTGCACAACATCTCTCCGCTCCATTTCCATTCATCTTCAGAATCACCAGGACAACAGTATTTGACCAAAGCAGCGCCCACCTTTGCAAACGCCGCAAACACTGCCCCGGAAAATCAACAGCCTTTGGCGGAACACGATCTCTCTCTTTCAACCAGCGACACCGATGGCTGTCGACCACAACCTTTCCCTTCTCATCTACAGCCATTTTTCTTAAGCGTATTGCCCCCTGCTTTCCGCGCCATCTTTGTAGTCGCCCACATTGAAATGACCCTCAAATCACGTCCTCGCGAACGAAATCAACTTCCCGATGCCAAAGCCGACAAACCGACGGCGAAGGTTGAAGATTCAAAGGACATCTAAGCTTCAAATGCCGAATATGGGGATCTCCAGCTGCGAACTTGCGCAAGCTTTGTCTGAGATGAGCAGGAAAGGTGCGTTAGAGATGTGGCGCCTGTGGCGCCCACTAGAACGCGACGTACCAAATTCCAGGTCTTCCACGTACCGCAAAGTCGCGTTGAGCACTAGACCCTTTCCATCAAAGATCACGCCTTTATGTAACAAGAGAGGAGCATGGTTGAGCGTTTGGTGGTGCAATCGACAGCAGTTTGTACTGCTCGAAGAAAACAACATCGGAACATGAAGCCAGCAGCACTGGCACAAAGCCTGGTTCCTTTTGACGCCGGTTCTCTCCGCTCCACCGCATCGGTCCGCACCCATGGCAAGCTACATACCAAACCCCTGCGTTCACGAGCAAGGGAAGACACCGCTTATGATCATCGCCCAACTCCATCTGCATATTGCCATGCAATCAATGGACATTTCAAAACACCACTTTCCGCAAACTTCTTCGTTTTCCCGCCTCACTCTGCGCAAACAAGTTCCGCTCCTTTCATTCCACCATGAGGCATACACGTCAACACCCCTGCCGCAGCCACTCCCAACAAACGTCGGTTGCGCAACCCCCTGCCCAACCTTCCAATATTCAACCGGACCCGGAAACTTACCTCCAGCCTCAATAGCTCGCTGCGCCGCAAAGCCTACCGGTACCGACCTTGCCCAATTTCCTAGCCTGACCGCCTCGTGCCTCGTGCTTCGGAAAGTCTCAACGCTTCCACCTGCCTGCTCAAGGTGACCGATCCTTTTTGCCGTACCAAGTCAAGGGGGTATTCCAAGAGTGATTGCGTAGCCGCACACAACGCGCGCTCCCGCCCGTCCCGTTCCCGCAGTCGATCTGTAGCACCCCTGCACTTGCTGCTATGCATCGCGAACGTTGGTCACTGACTGGCAGCATTTCTGGAGCTGGCTTGCAGCCTCGTTGTTGCAACGATGCCCACGCATGTTAGCGAAATAAGGTACGTACCAACACCTAGGCACGACGATCATGGCCTGTTATCGACTTCGGCGACGGCTCGGTGTCCGCGACCCTGGGAAATAAGTTGAAATGACTTGCTAGTCGTAGTTTGTATGGGCTCATTCAACGTTGAAGAGAAAGAAGGTGGAAGCGGTCCTGAGTCTGGCCGATTTCGCGGTGTTTGCCTGCCTGCCTCGAAGGTTTAGGGACAAGAACCTTGGTGCCTTGGCCGCGTGGATGGGCCAGTCCTTGCTCATCAATCGTCTTCGCGCGCTGGACATCAAACCGCGATGAGCAGACGCAACTACGACTTGGAACATTAAGTTGGCTAGCCTGGATTTTGATGGGCTTGTTCAACAAGCAACTCTTAGTAGGATCCTTGGCGGTTGGAATGCTAGCCCTGGATGGACGCGGCAGGAACAAAGTTGGTAACCAGTTCAAATTTCACCCCTGTTTGTCGAAATACTTCACAATTCTGAAGAATCTTGTCCCCCGTCCCCCTCTCCAGGAATTCCGATCGACTGTTTTCCTGGACACTGGATAAGTATAGATGCTAAAGAAAACCAAGAGCATCAGAGTCGCAAGACAAGAGTCGCAGCTTCCTTGGGGGACCTAGATACATCGAACCTTGCAAAACTTCGTCAAAATGACCCCATCTATACCCCTGGGGAGCACTAAGGACCAACGACTCAAGACCCCCTCTCCCGCCTTGCGACTCAAGGGGATCGAATCAAAACCCGTCATTGTACGCACTGGCGTCGCCACGATGCCATCAAGAGTTACAATTATATACCCATTTTCATTCGTCAAGGGCCACACGGAATCACTGACCCGTCACGAGGGTGGCGCCATATGAAGTTACCTCTTCATCCATCCCCATGGCAAAACCGTGCTAGCAGACGCCGGTCCCGCTTCCACGAGGAGTTAAGCATAGAGCAAGAGCTAATTTCTGCCGATGCGGCGCAGCGTGATAGTATGGCGCCAGCCAGTCTTGCGCGTCTTGGGCGCGTGTCCGACTCGGTGAACAGAGAGTCGAGACGACGACGAACACT